TGAAGAGAATCGATTAAAGTATTGCTCTTTAGAATCATTACAGAAATATGTTAATGATATAACATATAAGGTGGAGTCGAAAGTTAAGCGGACTTTTTTAGAATAAGCATTTGTAGTGAGGTCAACTATTTTTCATTACTTGCATCAATTAGATAGATCCTTTACTAATATATTGTCAACATTTCTTGAATTGCGTTTGGAATCTTGTATTCAGAATAAAATTCATGTAATCTATTCCGTGAGAATTGTCTTATTAATTTTTATTATCTCAGGCTAAGGTGATATCAAAAATATTATCAAAGATATACTCAACGTCATGATAAACGTTTAAATTTGGTAATAAAATTATTAATAAAATACATACCTATATTCACCTATGTGTCTTCCTATAAGCATATAGATATTATCGTGTATAGTCTGTTAGGTATGAAAAAGTGATACTCTTTTCATATAAAAAACATTCTAACCAATCGTTACTTAAATTCAATACTGTAAAGCCTTGTAAGCAGTTAAGGTAGCCTCATTACAATAATGAATACTGATATACTCGTACCAAAAATATTTTTTTGATTTATATTTTATAATAAATGTTTTTGAAGTGCAATCATTTAAAATTCGTTTGGCATGAAAACTTTGTTTTGATTTCTAAAAAAATTGACATTTTTAAGATATGACAGTATTGTACTAAGGCAACGACATATATCTCGTTCCACTCCACTATACACCATACAAAAAATGTATTGTGCCCTTCCTCCTCTTAATAATCATATTACATATGTGTGAAACAAAAATATTTAATTTTGAATTTCATTGAGTATTTGAAATTTTACATAATACACTGTTTGATTTTAATATTCTCTATTGCCGTCATTAGACGATTTAGTTTAAATTAATAAGTAAATTAAAAAAAAAATTATGTAAGCTCTCGTCATTTGGACCAAAAACAATTAATTATTAAACATAGAAAATAGTGTGTAAATATGTAGTGAAGAAATTATTTAAATATAAGATATATACATTAAAAATATATACTTTGTAACAACTTTGTAACAAAAACAAAATCAAAGATGAAACAAAATTTTTACAACAACTATAGTAACAATAATAACGAAAGGAATTCATAGTTTACATTGAAAATATTAAATATTTGCATTAATAAAAGTAAATACATAAAATTAATTTGAAAATTAAAAACAAACCGAAATAGCTATTAAGAGCAAAGCCCTTAAGGTTTGTTAATAAGACTAAGTTTAAAACGCAGCTTGGGTTAAACATTATGTTGGCATTGGAATTGGAATTGGGCTTTAACAATAAATGAAACCTATGGTATGTATAAGGATAAATTATTAAGAAATCAAATTCACCCAAATTCACCATTTACCTAAAACAGAGAAGAGTAATCTTCAAAATATTTTCGAATAATAAATAAAATCTATTAAGTAAGCTGTAATGTTTTTGTTTGAAAATAAATTGGAAACACAAAAAATATGGCTTTAAACATAAAAATGAAGTTTTGTTTTACAATAATTTTTAGATATGAACTTATTGTTAATATCAAAAAGGAGGTTGGATTCTATTGATTCGGTTCATTTGTAAAAACTTTCTATTGCATGCTATTTCGTTCACACAATTATTAATTTGTAAAAATTACTTCGATTAGTTTATATTATTTAAATACTTTTATGCGATTATGTTTTTCTTGTCTTGTAGCATCCATCTTTCTGGTAAGTACTTATTGGATTCTGGATAATAATTGTCATGTTTAAGCAAGAACTTATTCAACATAAATACTTGTGTGCCTTTAGGTTCTTTATATTCACTCAGTATAGTGCCTGCGCCTAAAGGATACATTCTTATCCCTTTTTTTCACAATATCTTAGATAAATCAATTCACTGTATACTTTTCTGTACGGTTTCGAACCGGAATTTTTTCCATTCCGGTTCAATATAAAAAAATATATCGGTTCGATTTTGGTTTTCGACCCGGCAAAAATATCGGTTTTTTCGGTTTTCGGTTAAGTTCCGTTTTAATATTCTTCATGTATTTATATGCAGTTTTTTTGCCCATAAATAAAATAGATCTTGATTCTTTTAGAAAGCATAGTTAATGCAACGATATATTTTTGAGCTTCTTGCTCAAAATTGCTTAAATAAATTTAAATAAAAATAAAAAAATTAGATAAATAAACAAATTTCACTACAATTTTACTTCAAGTTAAATATAAATATAAATGCCAAACTATATGATGCTGAACCGAAATAAGCCGATATATTGTTTTTGGATGCCCAGCTTTTCTAATAACGCTTTACAAAGTTCTTTACGTAACTTTTCCTGTTTATTTGGGTTCTTTACCAAACGCAGTATTTTACCTATGAACATTGTAGTAGTCTAACAAAATCATAAAATGTATGAAATAACAGATCAGAACAGTTATCATATATCAATATATTCATTACCATCACAATAAGTAACTTCTTATCCATGTTAAGCATATTTTCTACAACACTTTTTCGTTTTCTGTTCTTACAATACCTTTTTTCCGATCGTTTTCCAAACGTTGTAATGCATTTTGCACAAACATTAAGGTATATCCGTTATATCATCAGATAATCCCATCAAACGCTTGAATTTTCGAGTTTTAACATATTTCCAAATTTGTGGCTAAAATTGAATCTCCCCCGTTAACGAAAAAAAACTCAATCAATGTAACAAAAAGTTTCTTTGTAACAGGATTTTTTCGATTCATTGGATTAATTAGACCCAGTTGTTGATCGTGCGCTACCATGGAAATTGATTCTAATGTCCAGCGATTTATTTCATCTTCAAAAGCTTCTGGAACTTTAAGTGTCTTCGGATCTGGTATTTCCCCAATTCTGAAAAGTATCGAATATATTTAAAACTATTCATGAATTGTATTGTAAAATTTACAAAAGTAAATTTAAACATAAACCTTTCTCCGAATTCGGTATTAATTTTACACATCTTTGGTAAGTAAATTTTAGCCTTTTTCGGATGCATTAAAACTGGATTGATTGCTGAACGAAATGAGCCCCATTTTTCACCCTTACTAAAATATAGCGCATATTAGATCAGTGTTTATTAAATTTGCACTTTGACGATATACGTTGATATGATACCATCACTTCCTTGAAAAAAGCTGCGCCTGTGTTTTTCACGATGGTACTCGTATGCTATTGTTTCACAATGGTATGCTATTGGAACCCGGTCGCGTGAGCTAAATGCCCTCATTTCGATATACAGTTTGTTTCGAAGTCAGCTGGATTTTGTGTCAAAAGTAATGGCGCTGGTATTACAAAATTGTTGCCATACTTCTCATGCAATTTGTCCATAATCTAAATGCTGTTCAACTTATGATAGTAAGTAAATTAGAAGGTAGTAAATTACGCAAAAAGCGAAGAACACTTTCTTTAATGAAGTTCTTATCACTTTTAACTTTTAGAATGACAGTAGTTCGCGGACACTATTTTCAAAATAATAAATTAGACTTGATTGTAATGATCGAATTATATATACGTATTACAGAATTTAATCGAATTATCGTATTGAAATGTTTAATATAGGTTATGTATTACATACTCGAATTAAAACACATTTTTGCAATTTATTGTTGTTTTATTTAAAAAAATCATATCATCTGAACACAAGTACTAGCCAAAATTTTCAAATTATGCAAACTTTACCCTGTAAAATTTATTCTAGTATGTATCATTTTCTAAAGAACGGTTTTTAATAAAATTAGCTGTATCGATTGATTCGAACTGGTTATTTTACTGTTACCGAAGACAAGTGGAGTTTTGTACTGAAAAGGCCTCCATGGATCATTTTACTTTTTACCTTAGTGACATAAATTATTCTTATTTTCTTCCTAACCGAGAGCTTATGATCACAATTATAACTTCTTTTCTTTGAGCATCATCTATAACTATAAATCTGCACTCAGTGCATAACATCAAATCCGTCAATATAAAAACAATTTTTAAAAGTATATATACAAAAAATATTTCAAAAGTTACTACGATTTTATTAAATTAAAAGAATATTAAATAAGGATTAATTCTATATAACCATAGTTAAATTAACAAAAATCTAAAAACGCTTGTTAACACCATATAAGACGAGGCAAAAAACTAAAATATATATTTACAATATAATAATAGTAAACTGGAAAATAATTAAGCCATTGTACAACACATTTCTAAAAAAAACTTCTTAGATTTCTAGGTAGAAATTATATAATATGTTAACAGTTGTCCTCAAGTGTTATTGTGTTCCATTGATTTTATGAAAGTTAGACTCATTTAAAAACATATTGACATATGTAAAAAGGGACCTGTAAAGTTTAATCTTGTTCAATATAGAATTTCACTACATGATATTATATGAGAGGCAACTGAATTATGTAGGGTAAAATTGTGTTCGATTCAAATGACCACAACTTTCTGTTGTGCTTTTTTCTATTCATTCTTTCTTCTCAAAAAAGCTTTAAATTTTATATACTGATCATAAGCATACATACATTCGCATCTATATAATTTATATTATTTATATGTGATTGTATATGGCTCTTGTTACATTTCAGATACTTCATATCAATTGGTTAGCAAGTTGTAAACAAATATATTAATAAAATTAATGTCTGCATGATAAAGGGTTTTAACTTTTTTAAAAACAATGTTTTAAAGAAATTATATCTACGGAGTGCGATTATCTTGATTAGTATTTTATTTTTATATTTTTGATTTAGTTGAAATATTATTATTATTAGTAAGTAATAGGCTATGAAAGCACTCCTACGTCTTGCCGCCGATAGGCAGTTGCATAGAATTTGTTCTGATGTTTCCTTCTTCTCATGGCAGCGTCGATAGGAGTCACTTTTACCGCACCAATAATCTTCATGTGGTAATTAAGTTTACAGTGTCCTCTTTCGAAATTCAGTGTAGATTTTAATATCGTTTCTGCTGAGGCCATGGATAGCATCAACTTTGATGTGTTCAGGATCAATGAATTTTTTTGACTGTTGAAATACTTTTTTAAATGTACACTTCCACATATTTTGTTTGGACCCTAACTTGGTCAGTGTAGTTTTCATAAAAGAATGCGTCGTATATTTGTAGCGTCCATAACAGAAAAACGCGTTACACATATGTATATGTACATATAGGCTTTGAAACGTTTACCAGTTATTAGAGTTAAATAGAAATATATTTAGATATTTCAATATGTCTTGATTCAAAAAGTCTTGACAATGCCAAACAAGACATATAGAAAAACCTGTCTAATATTAGAAGTTAAATTTTATCATTGGCAAGTACTTAAAAAACTGTTTATCTTCAAATGGTCATATTTCAAAATAATTTTTTTGTTACATATTCAATACAATGTAAATAATTAAGTAATTAACTAAAAAAGCCTTGTCAGTTTGTTCATAAGATATTATTTATTTAATAATTCACATATAATTCATAAAGTTTATTTTGGAAACGAATATATTTGGACACTGATTAACAGGTTCACAATCTTTAACATTTGGTGAATTATAATAAAATTAAATAATAATCATTATATGGATTTCATAATGAAATTTTCATTTGATAACTAATTAATAAAAAAAATGACATATATTTTAACCATAAAATAGAGTTAAAGTTAATATATCGCATAATATATAAAAAATTAATTTAATTTAATAATTTTTACCACTATGTACAAATTAGATATCTGTAAATTTAAATTTAAGTGGTATGTTTGGCACATTTATTAATAAGGCCTTAAAAGGCTCATCGACTGGGTAGTTAAATTCTACTTTAAAATTTCGTAAAATTCTAGCAACACCTAATTCCAGTTCCATTTCAACTATTCTTCTTCCAATACAACTTCTGGAACCAAATCCAAACGGTAAATAAATAAATGGATTTGTGCCCTTAAACTCGTTGATTTCATTATTCGCCATCTCTTTGCTTTGTCTTAGCCAGCGTTCTGGTATAAATTCTTTCGGCTTTGTATAATATTTCTCATTTTGTAACAAAGTTGTTGCAACCATAGAAACCTGAGTCCCCTTCGGTACCTGATATCCGCTTAGCACTACATCTTTTTGAGGTACGCGCGCATTACCAACAATTAAAGGATATAACCGTAGTGATTCTTTAATGCATGCACGTAGATATGGCATATTTGTTAATGAACTGTCAGTAAAATCTGAACATTTTTCTGGTAAAATTTTTAAAATTTCTTCTCGTAGTTTCTCCTGCTTTTCGGGATTTTTTGCTAAACACAACATAATGCCAGCAAATGTACTCGAAGTCTTTAAAGGAAAATAATTAAACAGAAAATTTTAAACTTTTAAAATTTTAAACTAGTTTGCTTACTGTATCTACACCTGCCATTAACATATCCATTGCCATTACTGTAGCTATTTTCTTGTCAATTCTTAATAACTTCTCTAAGACACTTTTTTGATTTTCTGGCCTCTCAATACCAGCTTCTCGCTCCTTTTCCAAACGTTGTAGTGCATTGTTTACATAATTTAAAGTAATATCTTGTATATTGTCTAAACACTTCATGAAATTCCTGAATGTTTTTGTTGGTATAAATTTCCACAACGATGGTCTGAATTCTAGTTCAAGAGATAACGTGAAGAACTCTGTTAGATTCTTAAACAATGCTTTGGCTGCTACATTATCCCTATTTTCCTTAAGCAGACCTAATTGCCTGTCCAGTGCAACAACAGATACCGATTCTAAGGTCCAACGATTAATTTCATCTTCAAAATTATCAGGTACTTCAAGTGTTATTGGATCGCGTATTTCTTTGATTCTTGAAAAAAAAAAATAAATAATAATTTCATAAAATGATTAAAACGCATGTACAAACCTATCTATTAGTTCTAAGTTGACCTGTGACATTTTTTGCAAATATAATTTAACATTTTTTGGTTGCATTAGCACAGGATTTACTACTGTTCGAAATTTACCCCATTTATCGCCTTGACTATTGACAAGAGAATATAAAGTACATATAAAGTGTACATGTCATATTCAAAAAACTTACGTTGCTATAAGTCCTTCAATGTCCTGATAAAACTCTGCTCTGTGTTTCTCTCTATGATACCTGAGTGCTTCTGACCCCGGTCGTATAGGCCAAATACCCTCATTTCGAAACACGCGCTCAAAGTGTTCAGGATTATTAGTAATTAAGAATGCCTTTCTTCCAAGCATAGCTGGCATTACAAACATTTCGCCATAGTCTTCCTTCCATTGTGTTAGTAATTTCACACTGTCTTTCTTATAATACTTTCCACCGGGCAGCATTTTTCTTAAAACATTAAGAGCTCCATCAGTGGGTATTTCACTGAAAGGTTTAGCTTGATTCCATTCCGAATCGGCGTCTAAATTTACTTCGGCTGCTTGCGTTTGTTGCAATATCTTTGTGTTTGTAAACAAAGTCGTAAAAAATGTTCATTAAAAATAAAATCAAAATATTAGACCTTACCTGCTGATTAGATTGGAATAGTCTTATGTTTGATAAGCTCAAAGTTTTTGTGTAGCGGAAATTAACAACAGCAAAATTTTTCGCTTGCATCATTTTGTTTAAAAACATTAATGAGTTTTATTATGTGGGCAAATTATTTCCAGCTTTTTTTGGTTTTGTGTATACTAAGGCAATTGATCTAAAATATTTCGCAACCAAAATGCTCTGTTCCTCCACGAAACCTATTCGCAAATGTGCGAACTGCTACTACCTCACAAAAGCTATTCTACAACTCTTGTCCGTCTTTCTGCCATATATAGTACTCATATTTCGGCAGTGAAATTACTAAATTAATTTTGTTGATTAATAATCTCAAATACGGAGTATCTATGGTATACACACATTGACTGAGATACAAAACTCAAAAGCTCTGAACCTGTTCATATTGTTCCGTGTGCTCTTACGCATTAAACATTAGAGCTTTAATAATTGATATTAAAAAGCTTAAACTGTAGACAAGTATGTATTTTTAAATCAGTAGAAATATCAATGATAGGTGTGCAGAATATCAGATGGGGCTCATTATTGAGAAATATCAAAAAATTTTAATACTTTTCACATAACATACTATGTTAAAAAAAGTTTATTATGTAAATTTCGGATCAAAGAAAAGAATTTTAAGGCTAGCTATGCAAATTTAATTTTTATTTTTTGAATTAGTGCATTATGCATTATATTATTTTGATAAATAATACTTGATAATTCTTTTCTTTTCGTATCTTACGATAAATAGCTTCGCAAGGTAACTCTGCTATATAGAACAGAATCACTTGCTGTAAAACTGCAAAAGTCAAAAACTAATGCGCTCATTAATCGAAACAAAGTACACTTAATTTGTACCAGCGCTCTCATGGAAAGATCTTAGGGCTATCATGTATGTTAACACGCCACAGCATACTAGCACACAGACAAGATAGGAATTACCAATAGTGGAGATTGTTTTAAATGCAGAGAGCTGAAAGCAAAAACTACCTATCCTATAAAACATGTTTACTTTCTTCATTTTTTTTGTTTATAATTTTAGTATCCTGTATGAGTTAAAAAATATATATTTTGGCACTATTAAAAAATATAAAAAGAAGCTTGTTTTTGGGTAATAGTTTTTTTCTTTTGTGTAAGTTTTGTATCAGGAGCTAATATTTTTACTAAAAAATGAATGCGCAAAATATCATAAAATTTTAAAAATGTTAAAGCAAGACTTTAATCGAACAGAAGGTCTCTCACATGCTCAATGAAGACCAGAAAATTGTTTCTCGAAAAGTTTCCTGTGAACGGTCAATCAATTGTTAGTCTTATGAAGTTTTTGGAGATTGAAAAACCAATATCTCATTTGATATATTGTCTTATTCACACTAAATAGGGGTATCAGGTCACACTTTCGTTTATTAAAAAAATAAAAAATTTCAATTGTAATAATTTATTGCATTTATTATTTTATTTAAAACTATTTATTATTAATCATTATTCAAACACCAATTTATTATGAATATACATTATATAAAATATATATAAAAATATTTTAATTAATTTATAACTATTCCATTAACAAAAATATATTTTATATCTAAATGTAATGGAAAAGGGCTGCATAGCTCAAATTAATAAAAAAAATAATTTCCTTCAGACATTTAAATTATATTATATGTTTTACATCAATAATATACAAAGATAAGTTTAGACTTAAAAGCAAGGAAGCAAATCAGGGAATTGTTCGAATTTGGCACTATAAGCGATGATTTTTAATCATATATACAGATTAATAAAAAAAAACCTAATAAGTTTTAAAACTGGAATTATAATAAGTATAGAAAATAAAATAAAAACAAATAAATTCCAAATATGTAATAATCAATTGATTTCAATCGTATAATCATAAATATTTTAAATCTGTTCCGATTTTACGGATGTGGCTTGGGTTACATTTTGATAATTGCAAATGATTTTAGCAGCGTCATTCATCATTTTCGCTGTTGATCGCACTAAAAACATTAGATGACATTCATCATAAACTGTCAACTCTATCCGTGTACGTACTAAACCATGCAAAACTGTGGCACGTTCCAAGTCCAGCCAGTGTTGCAATGCAAGCTCCCGTTCTTTTGCTGAGCCGGAAAGAATGACGTCTGAAGGTCCCCATAACACAAACTCCAAAACCGATTTTGACTTCGAGAGTGATTCAGCCCGTTCTTGTGATAATATGTCAGCTAAAATTTGCGTTATTTTTGTCGCTGGCAACAAATCAGTGAGTGCAATATGAGCACACTTACAAAGTGTGCCCATCTGTTCATCTTCGTCGTTATTGCTACTAAAAAAAGAAATATTAAATTTCAATCTGTTTTATTTTAATAACTTTATTGAACCTACCCTTGTAAAACGCAAAGTCTGGCTTGTGCATCTTTGTTGTCTATATCCTTCGAAAGCACAACATTTGATAAACTCAACGGCATATCTTCGATCGCCTTGACTTGTAAGTTTTTCATGCCATTCACTAACTGCAACATTATGAAAGCTACTTCGCGTGTCATCACATCATCAAACGCTGGCATGCTCGGAACTAAGTGGGAATCCTCATCCGATTTAATGTTTTTCTCTACAGACGACTCTTCATTAAGTGTACATAAATTTTGCACAGACACTACATTTCTTAGCGCACTTGCACTACTACCATCCTTCAGTCCTGTCAAATTCGGTATTGAACCGCGGAAGTTATAATTACTTTTGTCTAGTACTTGTGACTTTCCTTTCAAAATTGCGCCAATGGATAACAGTGTATCTAGTTGAAGTCGTGGTAGTACTGAAATTGTTGCCTGCAAAAGTGTTACTTCCGTCGTTGGCATTAGTGGTAAATGATAACTTGGCACCAAATCGCAGAACTCCGTAATTGGATTTAGCACGCCAGATATTCCTCCAGATAACTGGTTAAGTTCACCACCCACACCAGAAAGTTGATTACAATCAGCTGATAGCGCAAGGGTCACTGGTGCAGTGGTCCAAAGTGCTGCATGGAATGCTTTTTTACCAACTACAAATGCTTGTGTACCTTCTAGTATTGTAAAATCTTCAAAACGTAAGTTTATAGCATTTGCCAAAGGTCGAAGCGCTGGTGGTATAATCGGCGTTTGTTGCAACTTAAAATATATACAGATAATGAAATAGAAATTGAAGAGAAAATAATAAACGTAACACACCTGATCTAAAACCTGCGCCAGTGCTTCGTGATTGGCAACCACAACTGCAGTATAGTTATCCTCAATAGTCTTATGCACAACACTTCGTCCCTTTCGCATACGTAAGCGGTTTGTTGCCTTTACACGATTTTTGACAGCCTATAAAAATAGTTTAATTTAAAAGGATACCTTCACATATATTTACATAAACCACTTACCGATGGTATGCCCCATACACTATCATTAATGTCAGTGGCTACATCGCCACCTGCCTCGCTGCCATAGTAACTATAGGGTGCATAAATGTCAAATTCGCCGACTTCGCTACCACAATACGAAGCAGAAATAATGCGTGGAATATTGGCTGTAAGAAATTTATATTTGATAGAACTCTTATTTTTAGAATATGTGTAAACGATATACCCAGACTATTATTCAGTCCATAAGTACGAGAAGCTCCATATTCACTACGTGTGTAGCTAGTCACCGATGCCGTATCTGAGTACAAATTATTGCTGCGCCGAGTAGGTAATATACGTTGTCCTCCATTTGTGAGATCTACTGATCTTGCAGGTGGTGGCGGAGGTGAAGCAGATGCCTTGACAAATTCGTACATATTTTCGTAGTCGCGTTTGTCTTTTAGATAACTATCGATAGTATTGTTGATTTTACGTACAGAATCTTTAAGACTTGTAGGTCGGTTGTCAGTTGCATTACTGTTTGCGTTTCCTATAGAATTGGCAAGCTCGTTTTTATTAATATTATTGTTTGTCGGGTTTTCAAATATTTCTAATTTATTTGCTATTGGCATTTTGCTATCATTACCCTTCTTGCGCTCAAAAGTGCTAGTGCGGCTTCCACTTGGTGGCTTACCGTCTACAACAGAATTGAAGGAATTATTAGTTAAAATAGCTGTTGTGCGATTTGTTGTGGGAAGCTGTGAACCAGGAATACCTCCAGTTGAGTTTTTAGAATGTAAGGCACTATTATGATGAGTTGAAACCTGGTCCAATGATACATTATCACCATTTGACGAGCAAATGGAGATAGTATCAATATTTTCATTGCGTGCTCCAACATGCCGTTTACGTGCCAATTCTAGTTGCGCTTCACGCTCGCGCATGCTTGCCGTACGTTCAGGTTTGCGAGGTGCAATCGACGAACGTATTTCACCTGAAAATCATTATCCGATTCACGGTATTTAATATAATATAAATATTTACTTGAACTATGTATTTTGAAACTAATTATTTTACTGAATAACTTTAGAAGGTTTTACGAAATATGAAAAAGTGAGATCTGAATCCTTAGATGATTCCAATCGATAATGAAGTAAAAAAAAAAGTAATGGTACATATATCATTCATCTTCGGAGTGTCACTTATCCAATCTATTTTGATATATTAGTCTAGGAGTCCTAGATCCATTTTTACTAAATCTGTTTCAAACTTTTATATAGCATAAGCATAACAATATTTGTTCCGTACTTGCTAAGAAACGATACGTACCTAAAATTTTGATAAAAATTTTACCACAATGTTAAATTTTGACTGCTTTTTATTTATTGTTTGTTATATGCACATATAATTTTACAGCAGAAAACAACTGAACAAATCTCAACTAAATCTAAATCTATTTAATGATTTTATTATTATAACAAGAACTTGTCACCTCGCTTGTCCCCACCAAGAGTGAAATTGTGAAAAACGTTTAATAAAGGATCAACAACACTGAAAGTGATATGTCCGATTTGACGGATTGCGTTATCCAAGTTCTATTCTCCAGGTACTTTAATCAAGTTAATCAACGGGCGCATTTAATAGTGCAGACCAAGAATATTAATTTAAATTCTATGCGCATATTGCCTATGTTGTGAGGTTCCACAAATATTTCCGAATGTGGTCTGACCAACTTCAATAAGTAAGTTTAATAACGAGTTTTACTAAAATTCGGAACGGAAAATAATATTTATTACATTTCATGTTAAGGAGATGCCAGTATAAAAAATTGTATTGACGTAGTCTTAGCCACTTTATTGATGATTTCTGAGTAATTTCAGCTTTACATTTTGTGGGTCATGTGTCTAAGCGTACTTTTGACCCATTTCCAATTAAACAAGTTAATCGCATACTATTTGCTTTACAGTTCATTTAATAAGAATTTATGAGAGATTTTTAAATTATAATTTTGTTACTAAAATGTAATATTGTGCATAATTGACTTGGTTTACTTGTCGACAGTTTTTGCAGCTAACTTCAATTAATTTTGCACTTAACAACTGCGAAACCAGTACGGAATCCAGTTTAGAAGTTTTAACAAGAGACTTACTTAATATAAACCAGGGTTTGAATTGCTGTTGCTAATTGCATTGCTTGCATAATTGCTAACGCATTGCATATGAAAATGAAATAAAAATATGCATTAGCAACAGCAAAAAACGTAAACTGGTTTCATTTTGATTGCTTGCTAATAGTCAATTTTACATTTTTGACTATTATGCATTTGGAATATATGCAACTTGCTTGCTTATGCGTTAGCTGCTTATGTTTTGCTATTAGCAAATGTATATGGATTTCTTCTTTTTGTTTTTGTTTTAAGGGAATGTGTACGCATTATTTCTTTGTTGGTGCATTGAATATAGTTGTGCAAAATTGTAAGTAATGTGTGTGCGTACAATTTGTATGCAATTAATATTATTTTATCTGTAAATAGATTATGCCTAAATTTATGTTTTTTTTAATTATTAAATTTATGATATATATGATATATATATATATATATATTAATTTTAATATTAATTATATATAATTATTAATTATATATATATGTTTATATTTGTGGGAAAATTTTAAGTAATATGTAGAACATATTATATACAAAGTTGCCGTTATTCTAAAGTGTTTCATTTTAATCGGTGTATCATGGCTCCGCGACTTAATAAATTCGCAATTCTTCAACATTTTAATATAAATAGTGATAGCGATTTAGCAGTTTGTAAAATTTGCAAACATTCGTTGAAGAGGGACAGAATATTTAATTTAAGAACACATTTAAAAAATATGCACCAGTTAAATATAAATAAAAATGAAGATTCCAGCTCAAGTAGTAGTGCAATAGTTGTGAAAAAATCATTCCGAAAACAAACAATTAAAATCGAAATGAGCAAAAAAGAGTTATTTCGCTATTCCATTTAATGTCCTTAATTCGGAAAATATGAGAAAGATTATTGACCCTATTTGTCGTGGCTTAGAAGAAAAATTTAATAAAAAATTTGTATTGAAAAGCATCTCCAACGAGCTGTACGAAGAAGTCGAACTGCTAAATCGCTATCACTATTTATATTAAAATGTTGAAGAATTGCGAATTTATTAAGTCGCGGAGCCATGATACACCGATTAAAATGAAACACTTTAGAATAACGGCAACTTTGTATATAATATGTTCTATATATTACTTAAAATTTTCCCACAAATACAAACATATATATATATATATATAAATTAATAATTAATAATTAATATCATATATATCATATATATCATAAATTTAATAATTAAAAAAAACATAAATTTAGGCATAATCTATTTACAGATAAAATAATATTAATTGCATACAAATTGTACGCACACACATTACTTACAATTTTGCACAACTATATTCAATGCACCAACAAAGAAATAATGCGTACACATTCCCTTAAAACAAAAACAAAAAGAAGAAATCCATATACATTTGCAGCTAACGCATAAGCAAGCAAGTTGCATATATTCCAAATGCATAATAGTCAAAAATGTAAAATTGACTATTAGCAAGCAATCAAAATGAAACCAGTTTACGTTTTTTGCTGTTGCTAATGCATCTTTTTATTTCATTTTCATATGCAATGCGTTAGCAATTAGTCGTTTGACAAAAATCGACTGGTTAATATTTATGCATTAGTCAAAATATGGTTGCTTTTGCTAATTTTCAGCAAGCAATTCAAACCCTGATATAAACCAAGTTCAACGGCAAATGAGTTAAGGAATGCTGTAAAGTATATTTCCTTCTCTTATTGGTACAAGTTCAGAAAAGGCTTAGATAAAATTAATCGAAATGTAAACCACGGGTAGTAGAAACTAAACTGATTGAAGTGCTCAAGGTAACTAATCTGAACGAAGTAAACTACTGAATGCAATAAAGTTGAGCTTAAACGGGGTAGGCACATTTACTCAAACGTTTTCTGATCATGATCACTTCAAACCAAAAAGAATATAAAAATGAAGAGATACAATAGCTTATACATAAATACTTATGATATTAACTTACCTAAATTGGCATAAACGTTGTCGGACTTGCATTTAATCGAACCGCCTGCTTCTCCTAAGCTCGACGTGGCACATAACCCAATCTTTTGTTTCCGGCGCAACTCTGCGCTTTTTGGTGGTGGTGGTCTAGCCGGTTTGTTAATCTCATGTGAGCGTTGTCCATCTGTTGCACGCAAGGGTGGTGCTGGTGGTTTCGCTGTAAGTACTGCAACAGTTTGGGTCGCAACTGCATCATTTGTTTTGGTTATATCTTTTACTACTTCTACGGCCGTGGGATTAATATCAATCGGATGTATGATTACTAGGCGCGGCTTACCAGCGACGCTTGCGTCTTCTCCTGTGCATATCTCTGAGTAAATGCCTTCTTTCTTATGCAGATTATCTGTGGTTTTGCTTGTGCCCATGCGTAAAAATTTTTTTATAGAGAATTTCGTTTTGGCTTTTTGTGTTGGTGATGCTGCCTTCTTGTCGTTCGATGATGCTGTAGTATTTGATGAAGTTGACAAGTTTGCTGCTGTTGTTGTTAAGTTCATTGTTGAAACAGAAATTACAGTTGATTGACTGCCCGATTCGGTTAGGCATTGTTCAGACAACGACAGGTTTTTGTGATTTCTTGGTATCAATTCCGGTGTCAATGGCTGCTTAAAGCTGCTCAACATATGGCCGGAACCAGTTTGATATTGTAAGTTTTTAACTGCATTGCTCCGTTGTGTAACAAATGTGTTCAAGCTACGGAACTTAGGATTTACAGTAGCTCGTTCTCGCTTATCCTTTTCTCTAATGACTGGCGACGAAGAATTTTTGGTGATGTTTCCCACATTGCTAGCTATTGCTGGCAGTTTACGCGTATAAAGACTTGAAGAAATTGAAGAAGAATTTGCCGAGTTAGTCTCTGCAATATTAGCAGAACAATTTGGTATTATTTCCGTCACATTTGGTGTTATTAGTTCTTTCAATTTCACAGCATCCGTTTCAGTTTTTACATGCTTTGTCTTTTCTGTATTTGCATTTAAATCGGATTGCGTTTGCACAGTCGACTGTGGTTGCTCTTCAACTGAAATTGATATTAGTTTTTTCTTTTCATCTTCTTTCATTTCATTTTCAAATTCAAGTACTAAGCTGTAGTCGCGTTCTGGCGTTGGCGGCGCACTTGTTTTATACTCAGGCGGCGGATTTGGCGCTCTACCTTTTTTAAGCTTAGCGTCATCTTTTATTATGTCAGCGTTTAAGTTCTCGTTTGATTTTGACATCACCAGCTGTAACTGACTAATAACCTGTTGTTCGGCACAAGTGGGCTGTCTTTTGGTTACAAATGTTTTTAATGGACTATTTACAGGAGAAACAATAGGTTTCGCTGGCAAATCTGGTTTTTTTAACACAATTGGTGGATGTTGTTTTTGTAAACCATGCAGAAACGAAGGTCGTGCTTCTATTATTTTAGTTGGCGGTGGTGATTTAGGCAATGCGGGTAAAATATGGTTCGCCTGTTCCTTATTTTCTAGACTACCATCAGGATCAGCACTACCATCTGGTTCACCGTGGAGCTCTCTGCTCTTTTCTGGCGGAAATATTGACTTTTTGGCACGTGGAGCTACTGCCACTTTAGATACAACTGATGTTTGGTTTGCGACTTGTATATCCTCATAATCAGAATTGTTCGTACTGATACTTAGTTTATTTTCCAAACGCTGACGTTCCCGTTCTTTTTCTGTTCCACCATTTTTGAATTCATTCCCAATGCTTATTCCAATGCCTGAATCGGACTCACTACGAATCATATTATAAGAGGTTTCTTCATCGCTGCTGCCATCGAAACTACTGCCAGTAGAGTCCAGAGCGTCATCCGAACTGCATTTTGTGACAATCAATCCATCAGAAGTAATTTTACTGGTCATAAAGTTGCCCTCATGTAAGTTATAAGATGCAGCACGTGTTTTTGAAGATAACAACATGTCGGTAATGTATTGGGAATTTGAAAAGTGTGACTTAGTCGCATTTTTGTCTGATTCATTAATGGCATTTATGCTTTTTTTATCATTGCTGAATTTACCATCTGCCAAATTTTCATAACTGATTTGTGTTTCAACTACATCATAATATGCCGATACCCCATTTTCAGCATCGGAACAGTTACTGTCTGTGTCGGAGTATTTATGAAAAACATTTATTTTGGGTTTTGTGTGTTCCTTGGTAATAGGCGGATTGCGCACGATCGGCTTTTTAAGGTCGAGAAAGGGCTTCGAGTCGACAGATTCGCTCAAACTTGATATTTCGAACTTAATCTTAGATCCAACAGCCATTACTTTATCCTGTCCAGTCAGTTTATTTGACTCATTTTGTTTCTGCTCAAGAGTCTCAGAAATTTCATCTAACAGAGACTTTTCCATTGCACGTTCAATTGGAGGACTGTTTTTACCATCGCTATCACTGGATGATTCCTGCTGCTTGTTTTGTATCTTAGTTAGTATTGAGCCACCGTTAGAGTTTGCAGATTTTGAGTTGCTACTTACTGATGTGGAACTTGTGTTACTGTTGACACTAGTAAAAGTAAGCGAAGGGGGTGTTTTCTTTATAGTCTTTTCACTGTTTACATTTTGTTTCGTGTCTGAATTACCCAATCCAGATTTCGATTCAAATCTTCCTTTTACAGTTGTTGCTGCAGTCATCTGTTTTGTCGTATCAGTTGCATTCGATATAGTTGATGTGACTGCTGTGGCATTTGTTGTCGCACCAAATGGCACAACGTTTATTTTCAATGTCTGCTTATTGCCCTCCTTATCAACTTGTGGGGCACCTAATTTTAGTGCAGCAAATGATTTCTTAATATTCTCTTGCGGATCGCCTAACAAGTTTCCATTATTCATATTGAAATCTGTATTGGCCTTTGTTATGCGTTTAAGCTCTGCAGTTTCCTCATCGTCCGTATTTGTGATAGCATTGTCATCATGTTCATTGCCAATGTTCATAAAATCATCGTCGTCTGCGTCATCGGAATCATCAGACCATTCACCTCCGTAACCAATGACTTCGAACAGAGTTTTACGAAAACATACTTTGTGCGATTTACTTTTATTAGTCTTGGCAAGTGCTTTCTTAATGATACTCTTCACAGGTGTTCTGTGCTTATTCGGATAGTCAGTCTTTTTGTTGTCACTTGCATCAATTTTTTGACTTTGATTAGAAGTGAATATAGAAGATGTACTAAATGCAGAAAATCTTGAACTGGAGGCAGAAGCTTGTTTGTGCTCATCCTTTGATTTAAAACAATTCGAACATAAGTCCTTTTTCCAAGCATTCTGTGTGAAGTGTGGACATATTGAAGATGACATTTTGAGGTGTTACTTATTTAAAAGGCAGAGAATATAAGGAAATATTCAATTAATCCTCCTTGTGGTGTCGAAAAATATGCTGGAACATATTCTGAAAGACAAAAGAAACTTATTTATAATAAATTGTTAACCAATAAAACTTAATTAACCAATCACTTATTAATAAGTGATTTAAAAACAATAAAAACTGTAACAATTAATTCAATTTTCTGCACGTTGCGATAATTTTTTTTTTATTAAAAAATATTTTAGCAAAACGAAAATGCTCGTATGAAATTGAAAAAAAAACAAACTATAATTCATACTTCACGGATTTGAAAAATTTAGGTGCAGTCAGCGTGTTGCTTTGCGAGTGTCCACTGTCAAGTATTTTTAACTGAATTCAATTTATTTCGTACAATTTAAACTAGGAAATTCAACACTGAGGCTAATGAAATTGCCAAATCCAAAAAAAATCATATAAGATAAATATGTAAGAGTACAGAATTTTGTATTGATATTAAATTTTAGCCATTTTTGATTTTGTTCAGTTAAGAACACAGAGATTTGCTATGGAATTAGTTGTTAGTGAGACTCCTGAAGCCGCCAGACTAAAGCTGATGAGCTGGTACATTCTTATAATCAATATGAGACATTTATCCTCACAAGTTGATGACAGGCAACTAGACAGGATATTTTAACCTGCATTATCACTTCAACAAGATCATTCTGTTTGAGGTACCAAAATATCTGCCTAGCGGGGAATAAGTGTTGTAATCACATCGTTCAGTAAGCGGATGTTGAAGCATAAAATTCTCTTTCCATATAATACTTGCAACTTATCATCATGACAGATTCTGACTTTCATTCACATATCTAATGTCTTCTGTTCAGTTGGAATTAGTTGTAAGTAGAAAACATCTACTGTGGTTGAAGTCATTGGATTCACTGAGAGCCCAAATTCTCTGATTTTCTCTGCTATTCTATTTTTATTATATTTATACAGACTGGAGCACACAAAAGCAGGGATTATTTCTGAATAAAAAATCGATATTTGAATATACTGAAAGCAATTACGAGGTAGAATAAATATTGAGACTCAAGTCTAATCATTTTCAATACAGTTAATATTTATTTTATAAAAAATATTTTGCAATCTTTTGAAAAAGTAAATGTATTGTAATTCAACCAGAAATTTCAAATCCGGTTATTTGTTTTGCAATTGATTTGGACACAACTGCACAACTGACTTCAAGAATTTGTAATTTTTGCTTTGTTCCAGACAAAATATCCACCATGTAAATTTGAATATAGTTTTTTATTATTATTTTGAATTTACTCAGCCTGCGGCCTGCAAGTAGACGAAATTTTGAAACTACTGGAAACTCATTTTTTCTACCAAACGTTCACACGTTCACAAAAGTGTTTAAATTACAAAAATGTTTATTTGAGCTTAATACAAAACTACAAGTCCACGACAACTCCAGCATTAATAATGTTTACCAGAATTTTAAAGCAACAGCGATTTGAATGACAACCAGCAATTTCAACATTGCAAGGGTAATTGGTGCAAGGGAATCGTAGTTCTTGGTTGAGTACTGTGCGCTTCATCAATCACTTACGTACCTATGTATGACGAAATTATGCTATTAGTCCTTCAGTTAATTAGATTTAAAAGAAACAACTGTTGCAATACTGATATTTTGGATATGTTGATACGAATGAAAAAGCATAGAGTGGTATAGACCATAAAACAGAATTTAAAATAGAAGAACGTAGAAAATAATATAGTATAGAAAGTAGAAAAATATAGAGTGTAGAGTAAAATGTAGGCTAGAATAAAATAAAATCGAATAAAGAATGGAATATCGAGTAGAATACAGAATAAAATATAGAATAGAATATGAAATAGAATATAGAATAGAATACCGAACAGATGATATCTCAACACTTAAATTTTTGTAAAAAGTATTTATTGTTTACTCTTCATAAGCTTAAGTGTACATATATCCGAATTAACAAATTCTTGATCGATTATAACTATTTTATTTAAGCTGTATTTAATAAGTAATTTAATAGTTTTTATTTTAAAATTCAAATGATTTGCAATTACTCGTAATTTTTCTGGTTCATTTCTTGCCACATTAGATTTGTGGGAAATATATATCTCAGCAAATTAAAATTACACTTAATTTTATTTTTAATAATTTTACACTGCCGGATTAGTTTACTTGGTTAATTAAATGCAGTTGCAACAATCGTGTTAGCAATTAAAGTTAATTAAGTTATTTAATTATTCAAATTATGTAAATATTTTGTGGTTTTTATTACTTTTACTTATTCGCAGAATTTCAGCGCAGTGAAATGCAAATTCGCTACAATCTCAAGTAAATTACTTACGCTTACATTTGGAAAGCAACCATTTTCCGTAAAGCAAATAATTATTTAAGTAATCCATAAGTGATTACGAATGAAATCGTATTAATTGAGAAATATTTTATATTAAAAACTCCTCTAATTGATCACATTTCGCAAATTATCCAATGGTTTTATACTTGTATACTATAGTGTGAAAATGGTATGTTAGGTTAACAGATTTTAGTGATTTAGTTATAGAAATGCTTATCTTTTGAACTAGACATTTGTAACATTATTTATTGGTTCACATATTTTCCACAAATTTGGCTATTGAGTGTTGCAATAAATTTACCTTCATATATCATATTTTAAAAGTGGAGCGATCGATAAAAATTTCCTTTATACATATATTAATTATATATATTAATATATATAATTAATATATATATAATTGTTATATATATTAATTGTTCAATCAGTGACAAGTTTTCAAATGACATTAAAAACTCTGCAATTTTGTATTTATAATTTACTATATATAAGTTGAAAAGGAGCTGACCGTTTTTCGTTATTGATTTAACTACTAATAAGGATTCAAACTTAAGTAAAAACAATTTCTCTTATAATATTAACATTAACATTTAATTTCTTATATCTTAAGTTGCTATTAATTCAAAAATATTTGGTTCTAATTATGTGATTATAACCACACCTTTGCAGGGAAAACACTTAAGTGGACTGTCTTAATATTTTTTATCGAAATTTCGTCGTAAAACTTGAAAAGCCGTTGCTGTACGAAGTAAGAAAAGATTATGTGGTTTATGACTCAATACAAAATTAAAGTGAAAATTGTCAACGAATGAACAAAAAGTCAATCACACCGAACAAACCAATTGACTAATTCAATACACCAAAAAACATGACAAAACTTGACTCAATTCATTAACACTTTAAGTTTCATAAGTACGAAAACCCAAATGAAAAATAAAAAAAAATACATAAACAAAATTAAACCAAAAAAATGAGATACAAACAAGACACGTTACCTCAAATTACTGAACATTTCAAATCTGCCAAAAATCAAATATTATAGTTTGAACAAAAGTTGTGGGTGTAGTGTACGCCTGTATCTTTCAATTGGAACTCAAATATTGCTGCACCACTACTAACGATGCTACTTCTACAGCACTCAGTTTAGTCTTTTACTGTCAGTGATACAAACAGTGGTGTAGCGAGGGGTGCAAGGGGGTCTATTATGAAAGGCGCAACTCTTAGAAGAGTCCCTAAGACGAATATATGAATATTATATTTTATTAATATATATTTTTTGAGGGGCACCAAAAAAAATGTATTGCCTCAGGTGCAATTTATACTCGCCACTGGATACAACGTAAATGTCCAATTCTCTAAGCAATGTGTATCTAAAAATCTTTCGTTTATATTTTATGATTTTGTGTTAGGAAAGTGTCAAACTAAATTAAAATGAAATAAATTTTTTTAAACTATTTTTTTTAGTCGCCTTTACTTTGTTTTTACTATGGCTTTTAACTTACAGCGGATTTAATTTAATCGAAAAATATTTGGCCCACTTTACGAAATATTCATGTGCGAACATTTATCATTTACCATTTACTATGTATGTGGACTCGATAACGTAAAACTCCTAAAAATACTAATGTGGATTTAGTTTCTATGACACTCTGATCGTATACCTCATATTCCTGGTAATATATTCGGTAGGCTTTTACGTTTCGTAGCTTTATCCTTATATTTCTCACTTTGATTACGACTGTAAAAGGACTACTATTCACAATTTGAATGCACATAAGTTAGGTTTTTGCAATCTTTATTTCATGTCCGTCTCTTTTAATATGAGGAAAAGCAGTATACCTTCCATGTAGTCAAGGATCAGTATTAAGATAAATATCGTACTATACATACGTATAGTATTGGAAGTTGTATCTTCATATTTGTTTTATAATACATTTATTTCCTGGTACGACACGTACGACATACTGTGTTTAGACTTCTTCAGTAGGAAGGTTAAAAAAAAAAAGAAACAGTTAAAATGTGTATTAATATTGATTCATGAATTAAAGAACCTTTATTTATTTATTGGCAATGTTTATTAATTTGTTTTAAAATCACATTGAAATGAACTTATATTTTCACATTTTTTTAAAATTTATTTTAATTAAAAATGCTGAAAAAATATTGTCAATGTGTAGTCTTGTGTTGTCGATGTCATTCGTTTAACAGAAAAGGAATAAACTAATCAGTTTATGCAAATTTATGCAAGAATTTTAAGAGAATAAAAATAAAAGCTTGCAGTATTTAAAAGATATAAAAAAGACAAGTACATAACAACCGCCTACAACTCAACACATGACATACTTTATGAGAAGAAGATACTTTTTAGAATGATGAGCATCTTTCCAGAAAGAGGAAATTGATTAGAAGGTGGCGCTGCCAGGCCTTTAGTTAGAGATGAATAAAAATTACTGCGAACTCTAATTGTAATTCAAAGTGTAAATTAAATTATTTGCTTTTTTTGGTAAACTTTTAGACAAAAGTTAGAAAATTTCCTGTTCTCACGGAAGAGACCATTTTTGGTAGCATTTGTTTCTGCTTGAAGCAGTTGCTAGTTTTCCAAGTTTGTTATGAATTTGGTTGTAGTTAAGTTGTACTCAGTGCAACTAATTGAGTTTTCAACTGACAATGACAATCATTTTGAATTGACATTCGTCTCACGAA